CAAATTTGACGGCATACTTCTGTAACGTATTTTTTCCGGATACTAACGCGCTTTAATCACGTATTTATTTCTAGTTTTTGTGACTTGTTTCACTTACTGTTTTAATTAGTGCATGGCAGATTTCGTACTGCTGAAAGTACTCGGCAAAGGAACGTTTGGAAAGGTTATTCTGGCGAAAGAAAGGAAATCTGACAAGCTTTTCGCGATTAAGATTTTGCGGAAAGACGTGATCATAGCTAAGGTACTCAGTGACCAGTTCAGTCGAAATTATTGCCATCCTCACTTGGTTATTGTTTTGCAGGACGAAGTTGCCCACACGTTAACCGAAAACCGTGTTCTTCAAAAAACCAACCATCCGTTTCTAACGGTAAGACACGGATTTATAATGACACTGTTCATTGCTTTCTTTTGCATCAGAGTGTGTTCACCAACCAAAGGATAGGACATATTGTTCGTGGTTCTGTAATCGTTCTGAAAAATAGCGCAAAATGGCTTCATTGCACACGACGAAATGTAGAGGTTCTACAGGCCAATGTTCGGTCAATATCCCAGGAGCAGTTTTTAGATTAAGTTTATGGTGGCTTCGATTTTTGTTTGCATCATGTACAGTAGCGGATTCCTTTTCTGCCAAAAAGGAGCTATTGGTTTGTGATGAAGCATTAGCAGTTGCATAGTGACTGACGCAACAAGGCTTATCACACATCTGATCAATATAACTTATATAAATAGAACTTGGGCATCATGCAGCATTCAACATAAGAAGAACTCGCCCTGATGATTAGGGTTGGCGTAAGGAAATTGTCTCAGCAGGTTCTTCAAAGAGACATTCTAATGGTACAGTGCTGCGACATTTTCAAGCGTAACAAAAATCGCAAACTTTGCAAATGGGATAGTTCATTATATTCTGCCGAATATGATGAAGCCATATTCTGTTGTTTGTTTTTTATGCTGATAGGCACAGTTATATCTCATGTTAACAGGGCATTCAAGTTCTCCTTTACTCGTAGATGCCCAGAGATTATTATAGCCCACCTCGATTGCATGACGATATTAGAATGTATTAGCAGAACAGTTGTTTTCCCTATCACTTCTAAATGGTATGGCATAGTCGCATTGTTCCCTTGCTTTTAGTAGCCCAAGAGATCGTTTAGGCAAGCCACGGTTCTATGAGCTCAAGACAGCCTCACCAAGTATAGTTTATTCCTAGTTTTGTTGGCGTATGTTGAAATATTGAACAAGATCACAATTCGTTAAATACGACGTAAAATTAGTGGACGATTTTACTATAATGGGATCGTTAACCCAACATCCATTTCGATGCCGTTGACTCAAGAGGTTCTGGTAATGCTTCTCTGGCCTACAGGATAAAGCCGTGTGATCAGTGCAGAACGTTTTTTCAGTAATGTATCTAAGTCAGTCCTTGTATGGGCAGAAGTAGCTGTGAAGAGTTTGCGGGTTCAAATCCTGACCAGACCATCCATTGTTTTTTATTTTCTAATACTTCTTACGTTTAAGCGTAAGGAAAATAGGCGTTTCAACGTTACTGAATTTTTTTCTTTCCTTTTAACAAGTTTTCGTTTTCTGAATTCTCCCCTCCTCTTGTCCCGGACAATCTCTCAGCCTTACAGAGTGGTTTCATGGATTTATCATCCCATTTGACCTTAGTTTTATGGAATGTATATTGAATGATAGCGAGATTGCTCTTTCTTTTCAAGGTCAATATATGATTACCATTTCATGGAAAAAACCTTGCTTTTGTGTCGATTCTGCCTTTAAAATATCAGACATCTCTGGCTGATGGCATAGAAGGGCACTGCCGCATCGTTATAAAATGAAGCATGTCGTAAACGGGCTCCTGTCATGAAGGTATGAGACCGATATTCTGATAATTATAAATTTTTTCTTTCTCTTTCATTGAACTGGGCACTGGGCCTATGTTCTGTTAACACAGGTAACTATAATAATGACCAAGGAATAAATGTGATCATCAGAGTTCTTCACCTAATCTCCTTCATTCATGAAAGGCTTTCTTATCTAGCTTAGCGGCTACGGAGAATGATCTAAGTCGTTCGTGACGATGAAGTTCGCTCTTAGTCATTCCTGAGCCATTCGTTTATCCTAAATTCATCCTTCCTGCATCTATCGTAGTTTATTCGATGTACATTTACTCATTTTCACTGTTCTGCATATTAATAAATAAGAAATGAAATAATAAATTGCAGGACAAAAAATTGATTACCCACAACTTACGCGTATATCGTTTTTATATTTTTGCAGTCGCTCAAGTACTCGTTTCAAACTGCTGATCGTCTTTGCTTCGTTATGGAGTTTGCCAGTGGCGGCGAGTTGTTTTTTCACTTGCAGAGGGAGCGGCTATTTTCTGAAGAACGAACTCGTTTTTACGGTGCCGAAATAGTTTCAGCCCTAGCCTACCTGCATGAAAATAATATCGTTTATCGTGATATTAAGGTATCGTTGACTGTTTTGCTATTTTGTCTATTATTTGCGTATTACTTGTAACCCTATACGACCTTGTTAAAAACAGTATTTTATATCTGTATTATACTGGTCAGCCTCTGAATCATTAACGCAACTCGTGTTAATTAATGATTTATACTGGTTTAAGTATAAAAATATTTCAGTCATGGACAGTACTGCGATACACTTGAAGTATACTAGTTTTTTGCATGTAGGAATGAAAACAACAGTACGCTAGTCACTAACGACCAGCTTAATTGGTTCAGTATAATCTACCTTCTCCTATTATATTAAGAGTCATTTTGATTTCAATTTGTGTTCAAAATTCGTTTCCTCCCATAACTCAAAATTATTCGTGTTGTACATGTCATAC